ACCCTTTATTTAATCTATGTGGATGGATTGTTCTTGTTTCGCTGTCTATGTCCAGCTGCAGAATGTTGCTACTTCTCATGCATGATTGCACTCACTAAGTCTCAACATTCTCTTACAGCTGCTGCTGCTTTTGAAGCTTAGCTGTCATGTCTCTTTCCTTAACTTCTAACTCAGATTACCATAGGGAACAATCTACCCCCGTAGAGTAAATTAAATGGAGAGTAGGGGTAAATAATCCTGGAGAAAGTACGTCGCTGACTACAGGGGTAGTTTGTAGGGTTTCAACAAACATCAGTTTGTCTTACAAAGGAAAGAGAAAGAAATTCTTGAATTTACAACGTAGGACGGAAAAGTATTTATAAAACATCAACAGATATGATCGCTAAGTGAGGTATTGAAGGGAAAGTTATTTTGGAGTCGACAGAACAGTGATCGTAATGAATTATATATAGTTCGATCCTCACTAGGTGCCTCATACTTTCGGGCTGCCGCCACATCTAAGCTACGCTTAGAAAATAAACTCTTGGGCACTTCGGCATGGTGTAATGCTTAGCAAGCTGGTCTGGCTAGATCAGTTACGACATTTCAGAAGCTCACTAGGTGCTCCATACTTTCGGCCTTGTGCCACATCTAAGCTACTCTATATATATTATGAATAATCTTGTTTTGTTACTATCCTCTTTATGAGAGCTATTTCTGTTTACTGGGACTATAAAAAGGATACTATACGCGAACCTTGTATTCTCAGTTGAATAAAGTTTTCTTAAAAGCGTACGCCTGCTATTGTCATTATATATATATATATATATATATATATATATATATATATATATATATATATATATATATATAATGACAATGGCAGGTGTTTATATATATATATATATATATATATATATATATATATATATATATATATTATATTAACAATATATATATATATATATATGTAAAATTTTGAAAAAACAAACAAAAATCCATAAATGTAGTTAAAATGAAAGAAATGTCGATGTCAGACGTTTCGGTTTTAATAAACCATTTTCAAGACAAAATTCATTAAAATACAAATTCAGTTCAATATGACGAAAACGATGGACATAAAAACACAAGTCTTATCCAAGAGTAAAACAGATAACTGAAAATTTTAAAAAGATCAGCTTTCCGTTTAACGTGGTCACGCCGTAGTCACATGGGCGACGCTTTCATAACGTATTCCTAAAAGTTCGTGATTATTTTAAAATTCCTGTATTTCCGGATAAGCCTGCAATCTTCCATGTTGTAAAAAACGAATTTAGGTTTGTGTTTTCAGTAGACAGTATATAAGCAAGTGTAAATGGATATAAATCCGACAGAATGTAGAAATTTTGAAAAAACAAACAAAAATCCATAAATGTAGTTAAAATGAAAGAAATGTCGACGTCACTTGCCCCCAGGTTAACCTTACACCTGGCTTCTTTTGACGGCCTGGAGTTGAAAAGTGAGTGTCTCTCTTCTGAAATAATACCATATATGGCTGCTGCATCTGCACTGCCACAGCTACGCCATCTTTTTACCTATTACATGACTAACATACAATCAGGCTGCATCTGTTTGTAGATGTGGGGAGAGAGAAAGAATCCAGTATACTGTTGTTGGCAATATATTTTTTCCTTTTTTTTTTTTTGCATTTCATTTTAATTCAAAGATTTCTACTCGTTTCCTAGTCTTCTAGTCACCGTAACTTTCTTTATTTTTTTTCGAACAATTTCTACGTTCATTAGACTCGGCTGCTTTCCGCCAATAGCAATTGTTTCTGTGTCTGTAACTGTTCATTAATTTTATTTTCCAATTTGTTGCTCGAATAAAACATTCAGTAAACATCTTCATGGGATAATGATTCCCATTCGAGACAAATAAATGCTATCCAAATCGAGCTTACAGCAGTTAAACTGAAAGAAACCCATTTCATCTTTTCTGTGCATCTGCTATTAAAACGAATAATCTTTAAGATTTGATTAATCACAGAAAATTCGATTAATCAAAATTGATTAGAGTTTTTTTTTCAGTTTTTGATTTTTCAGCAGCAAAAAAAAAATGTAAGAAAAACAAACATAAAACTATTCTAGCAAACAATTCTTAAAGTCACACAAGAGTAAAAATATTGTAACGTTTTTTGTACACTATTCAATTGTTTTAACCCAATACAAGTGGTTGGTTGGTTTTGTTTAGCGGTATATCAAACTCTATGGGTTATTTTGTAGTGACACTAAGTACAGAAACAGGAAGTTACCTCTTTCATAGCTTAAAACATAATGACATATTTCGTGTTTTGCGCAATAGGCTCCACGCATACTTCCGGTTGAAGTTGATTAAACTACGATCGTAAATAAATATATGTTGACCAATGAGAAATGAGCGCGCCTAAAATAATCATCATCTTAATCGGAGCCTCTTTCAACTTCGCTATAAATAGACCCCTGTCTAAAAGAAGAAAAAGCTTCCTACCAAAGATTCCAACAGAGAAGTCACAGAGAGACGAACACTTAACTGTGAGCGGATACATCAAAGACATATCGGCTTCAACAAACACTACTCACTCATCATTTTCACCTCTTTTACTTCTCTCCTCATACAGTCTACTTCCTTTTCTTCGTTCACAGGACACATTACCAAATGTAAAATTATAAATAACCTTGTGCCATCTATAAACATTACTACAGTTTTTGTAAAATACAGAAACAAATGTTTATAAAAATTATTATTTGTATATACTCCAGACTTGATTGTTTTTAAAATTTGCATTGACACTTCCCGGGGAGTGGGCGGTATTTGGGGTGGGGGTGTAATAAACTAAACCCATGAGAATAAAAAACGGTAAATATGGACCTTCGTACCGAAGCGTCAAAGGGACGATTTTTCCCATGACACCGCTTTTATTTTGAACTACAGTCACGCTTTGGTATTGTTTATTCTCTTAAAAATCGATGATTAGAATTGTACCGAAACCTAAATATATGATGAAAGTGATGAAAAAAATTAATTTTTTGTTCTTAAGAATTTACGGAAAAATAAAAACTATTTATTAGAATGTTTATTTACAAGAATAATTTTATCTTTACAACATTCTAATGTAATACAATTAAAACAAATGCAATGTAATATTTATAAAGAAATATAAACCATTTTATTCATAAATTTATAAATATTTACTAAATTATTAAAATATGTGAACCAAACATAAGGAAATTCGTATTATTTATCATTTTATAAAGTTCGAATCAACTGGCAATTAGCCGATATTTTGCCAATAAAGAATGTAATAAATAATAATAAATAAATAATGTTTATTATTTTTGTTGTCAATTCTCAAGGACAATCAAATGTAGAAATTCATTTTCATATGTTTAGTTTTTTAGGTTTTTTTTTAATTCTAATCATTATATACAATTGTGCTTACATAATATTCTTGTAATTTATAAAGAATTACTCGGTTTTATTTGTAATCCAAAATTATTTCTTCTTATTAAAGTAACAAGAGATAATGTTATATTTAGCAGATAAACGTATTTAACGCTGCTCTTTCCAGTATTGATGGATGTTTCCTTCCTAACCTTTTGTTTAAAGTAGTGTGGAATGTCAACATCTTGATTATGTTATTATTTTCTCGTCAAGTTTCATGTGCTATCCATTTTAGTTGCTGCTGCTGTTGATAATTAAAACTAACACAATGCAATATTTATCAGTTACTAATTTATTAAGAAATAAATAAAACATTTTTTATTCATAAGTTTATAAACATTTACTAAATTATTAAAATATGTGAACCAACTATAAGGAAATCCTTATTATTTACCATTTTAACTGTAACTGCTATTGTTCCTTCCAGTAGGGGTGGCGGTTTCCTTCCCAGCCTTTTGTTTGAAGTAGTGTGGAAAATCAATATCTTGACTATGGCATTATTCTCTTAAATGTGATATCCATTTTAGTTTTTGCCGCTGTTGATAGTCTTCTTGAAATGGTTTCTCTTATTTGGTATGTGACTGTCGAAAACTCGATATGTCATAAGTTCTTTCTTCCGGGGTCACCATTTTAACGGATTTGAGTAGACATCTCTTATTTTTAAACAGTATAAATTTACGTCTACCCGTCTGTGCAATCGAGAGATAAAAAAAATTACCTTCTGACTGGATCCGAATCTGCGTCCTTCTCATAGAAACTTTCAAACTTAGTGAGCTGTAAAAGCTTTCCGTGGCTGAGCAGATAAAGCACACCTGGAAGGACGGTGGTTTCTCCTCTAAGTGGGACGCAGACCGGTAGACGTAACTTTAAAGAGATGTCTACTCAGACACGTGTATTCACTAAGTTTAATGTCTATACTATTGCTTATGTAGTGTGTTCGCATATTACTGGAAGATAATCACTGACTTTTGTATCCCTCTGCATGTCATAGTTAAGCTTCAAAACGCTATCACAGACATCCTAAATTCCAGTATGTTTACTGACAGTTGCATCTAATTGTAGACACTGCTTAATATGTCCAGCTGTTACCATTATCTGATAAAACCGGTTCACGCCATTTTTTGACTCTTAGCTGTCTGATGTAAAGATACTCAACGCAAGTAATAAATTCGATAACCGAACGTTTTCTACTCAGAAATATTTACGCAGTATTTAATTTGCTGATCTCGAAACCAATTGAAAGTCCGGTTCAAACATTTTTGTTCTCTAAAAATATTAAAATTTTCAAATTTTCAAATGTTTTCTCTTAAACGCACAGAAAAGGTTTTCGTCAGTACACAACCATTTCTGTCAATTCAAAGCAGGACACTATTTTTGAACGGAATATTTTCCTTTTTGGCAAGTGTATATTCCATTTAGCTTGGGAAGAAAATGATTGAATTCATACTTTTCCCAAGGATATTTATATGTAAGTGAATATAAAGAACCCGACTGCAATTCGAACTCGGCTCTCCGATTAACAATTCCAAGTCATTATCCATTACACCACACGCATATCCAAGCTTACAGCTCCTGGTAATCACAAGTGGTTACCCATCCAGGTACTGACCAAGTTCAACGAAGCTTGACTTCGGTGATCAGACGGGAACCTGTGTTTCCTCGTAAAATAGCCGTAAGCCCCATTGCATTCTCCGACCTACACCCAGTGTATCATCAAACAGCTATTCCGGTGTATGTTTCATCAAACAACTTTTCAAACACGTTCACCATTCTAAACTATCTTGGCGATTGTAATGGGAATTTCGATATTTAAAAATCATATGAAAAGAAAATCGATGAAGTCAACAGATAGTCCATTTCTTTTGAATTTTAGCGATTTTAATTCTAATTATAAAACGAAAATATCCTAAAAAATTAATAAATACTAATATATCGACCACGGATCCTAGTAAAGAAAAATAAAATTAATCATATACTATACTAAATTTACTAAATCTAACACAATCATTCGTAATGACACTTCCCCGCCCACTAAGGTGTTGCAGAAAACCAACATCGTTTCTGAATTTAAATATCCCCTGGGAGATTGTATCTCCAATGGTAAAAATAATATTTATGTTGGACACACTACAACGAAGTTATCTCGGCGCCTAAGTTTTCATTTGAATAATATGTCGAACATTTCTAAACATTTGTAACACACCTGTCCACATTCGCAATTTAGAAAAATTCTTGTTGATAATACTTCAATACTTTTCCACGCAAAGAATAAACATCAGCTAAAAATTCTCGAATCTATCTATATTAAAAATTGAAACCAAACCTTGATAAAATTAGTTATGAATACTCCACAAATGTTTTAAAATGTGTAAAATAGATAGTGTGAAATGCCAAGGTTTACACTAATAGTTTTTTTACCACTTATTTCGTAAAAATCTCTCCACAACCATACTTAGTTACCTCCCCCTTAAACGGTGTCAGCGGTCATGCACTGACTCAGCCTTCCTCACTACACAAGGAAGATATTAAACTTTAAGACTAACACATCAATTTTGTCTTCGACAATAATGAACGCTACAATATTTGTCTCGTAATAAACTAAACATTGATGATGACATTGTTCTATGTCGAAAGTACTCGGAATAAAATATGTATCAACACGGCGATTTTCTCTCTTCTTAAAAAAAGCTTATCCGTGAATATGAAAGGATCCAAATAAAAATAAGTAGACAGAACATGTCTAAATTATTCAACGAATTGTGTCTCTCTCTCTCTCTATATATATATAAAGAGCAAGATCTGGGCACTCGATTAGTATATGTTGAATAGTATATACTGTTTTACATGCTTGGCATACTGGTTGATCTTGTTAGGTTTGGGTGTATCATAAGTATTCATTGTAGGAGGTTAGATATATAATTAAATTTATTTATTATTGTTAAAATTTATGTGAATGTGTCTGTTTGCTTTGGTTTGTTTTACGGCATATAAACACGTCAACGGGTTATATAATACCGACAAGATTTTTATGGCTGGTAATATTCATTTTTTTCCAAAAATGTATTGCTGGTAATATTTTTTTCCAAAAATGTATTACTAGTAATTTTTTTTCCAAAAATGTATTACTGGTAATATTTTTTTACAAAAATATATTGCTGGTAATATATTTTTTTTCCCAAAAATGTATTGCAGATAATATTTTTCTTTTTCAAAAATGTACTGCTGGCAATAATGTATAGCTAGTAATAATTTTTCCAAAAACTTATTGCTGGTATTAAAACCTATTTTTATAATTTCATAATGTTTGGACTCCTTTTGTGTGGGTAACTATTTGCCCATAGCTGGGGCCCTGACAGGTGCTACCACCCCGGGTCAAGGTGAACCTGGGAACACCAGAAATTAAAAGGTGGTTCCACACCCCTCAAAACCTCATGATCAAAGATTTTGCTGTCGGATATAGTTTATCGTCTTACCCAGGGCCCAGGACGCGGTTGTAGTTTAGCGTCTTACCCAGGACGCGGATGTAGTTTGTCGTCATACCTTGGACAGTAGGAAAAAGTAAGCTGAAATTTCGAGGAAACATAATGAGGAAAGAAGGCTCGAAGAATTTAATACTCAAAGGGCGTAATGACAACAAACAGGATGTAAAGGAGAGAAAAATGACCTATTTACGTAAAAGTATTAGCAAACAGCAAAAGAGGGGTAGTAGAGGCGTAAGTGTTAAGTGTAAAAGAGACAAAGCTGTGGAAATCCATTATAACCTACATTCGGACGGGAGATGTAACTGTTTGTGTGTGCTTCTGATTGGCTAGAAATATTCATCGAGCTTCTAATTGGTTAGAAAATATATCTGACAGAAATCCCGTATCCTTCACAAGATTTCTGTTCGATAACATAATTATGGTGTAATGTTGCCCGCCACAGACACACACACACACACACACACACACACACACACATACATATATATATATATATATATATATGATAGAAAACATTGATTTTGTTGAAATTTCTATCAGACTCAATGAATTACTTAAATATAATTATCAAATCCTTCTAATGATTTCTATCATATACATCATTGCTTGAACCGGCTTCTAATGCTCTAGAGTGAGCGGCTTGGTGATAGTAGTCGTGGCTTCAGGGGGCACAGGCCTATGGTTACAGAGAACTCAGTAGAGTTCCACCACGGAATATTTGAGCGAGCGGCGCTTTGTTGAGTCTGAATTGCAATCAGGACCAGTGGAACAGTTGGTATGATGTTTGCTTGACAACCTAACTGTCAGGGTTTCAATTCTCGGTAGTGGATGCGCACTGCTGATGAGTCTCAAATATAGGACGAAACGGTCGTTCAGTGCTTTCTGCATTCTGTTGAGATTTCTATCAGACTCAATGAATTACTTAAATATATATATATATATATATATATATATATATATATTTGGGCATTTCAGACAGCAACGTGTAAAGATTGAATCGGCGGACTGTAATTTTAAAAATAACCTCAGACTGATATGTTGGCTAAATAAAGTTTAACTCTACGTGTCGCTCGCTGAGAAAGAATATTTTTGCTTAACTACCGCCAGCCATCAATCGATTGCCTCGGTAGTAATCTGACTGAAAAGACCGGCGACTTTTCACACCTGGAAAGCTATCATTGTTATTATTGTACTCATGTACTCATGCCGTAAAAAATGATGGCAATAGTTAGAAAGTTTTAATAGTGAGATGCGATGAAACAAAAATCTTGAAACAATTTCTTGAGATTCAATAAAGCGGAGATAAAGAATTCACGACTAAAACAGACGCCGATAAAACGTTCAATTAATCCGTTCCCTTTATATTTTTAGCCGTTCAATGGTATCGATTATTCACTGATTACACCTGGTATTAAATGAATCACTTTTTGCTCAATATCTTTTCATGCTAAAAATTTGGTGTGTTTAATATAACAGTAAATTGAATATATCTCTCAGATTAGCAACAGAGCGACAAATACGTCGACGAAAAAGTATATCTCAAGAACAAATAGCTGAGTATCCCACATGAAAAGCTTGAACAAATAAGACTGCAATATGCCAGACAAAGCAAAGGAAACAAAACAACATATAGAAAGAATTAAATTTACTAACTTAAGTTGATTTACCTCCCTTCCCACTATAGGTGGGACAGGAAATATATAAATAAATGCACATTGATAATTATTATATGGTTTGATCATTGATTATTGCTGCAGTTGTTTTGTTTTCTTTGCTTTGTCAGGTATATTTCAGATTCGTTCTTACTCTGCGATAGCAATCTTTTTGTAATTCGTTTCTCATTAATAAATTCTATCTCCTTCTAAAATAGCTAAATAATTAGAACTCGTCTCAGATTTAATTCTTTTAGTTCAGTATACCTATCTAGGTTGATATTATGTGTGCTTAATAGTGTCCCCTATTCACAGAAACTCAAGCATAAACCCAACTAATTTTGACCTGTATAGATTCAGGTGTACCCACTAACAGTTTTTACATATATAAAATCAAGTATATATAATATTTAACTGCAAAGACTCAAGTATAAACCCGGACAATTTTGTCTATATAGTCCCAAGTACAAAATTAACCATTGTTTACCTATATAGACTCAAGTATAAGCCCAGTCAATTTGACCTATATAGACGCAAGTACAAAACCGTCAATTGTTTAACTATATAAACATAACTATAAATTCAATGAATTCTTACCTATATAGACTCAAGTATAAACTCCACCATTATTTATCTACAGACTCAAGTATACTAAGTGCCGATAGTAAATAAGCCGACAAGGGTTGGTCTGTCACAAAATCTATCCACCGAATCCAATCTTCAAAATAGAAATGAAACACAGCATCAGACCAATATTTGGCCTATAATGATTCCATATATTAAGATTATTAGTCATTGATTAATACAAGATTGTAACGAATTATTTTTCTCCTGAAAGACATTCCTACATTTCCACCAAGAACGTTAAGCCATGTACAAAAAAAAGCATTATATATATATATATATATATATATATATATATATATATATATATATATATATATAAATATAAAAATCATTCATTTGTTTACAAAATGTTGGTCAAATCACATCGTTAAGAAAGGCGGGAAATTATAGAACAGTGAAATTATTCCTCCCACAAAATCTTAATTAATTTGTCTATTTTTTTTTTTTTTCCAATAATTTCTATTTTTCTCTTTATATTTTTCATGTTCTAATTTTCTTTTCTTGATTTTCTATGGTCATTTTTTTTCCTTTTTAATTTTGCTTCAATTTTATTTGTTCGCTAGAAAAGGAACAGATCGATAAATTAATCAATGAACCTGTAGTCATAACCATTTTCTTTATTGGCCGATTAAAATTCTTCTTTCTTCTTTGCTTCAAGTGAATTCAAACACCATTAACTCTTCGGATGATTCATAAATTTTTGTTTATAAATTTTATTCTCCGAAATAACATTCTATTCAATCGCCATTATTTGCAATGACTTGTTGTCGCTTATCTGGCAACTCTTCAATACCTTTTGAGTAAGATTCCACAGATGTTGATTTGAAAAATGTCTTCGACCAACTCTTGAATTTGGTGTTAATTAGAGAAAAATGTTCTCCAGTAAAACATTTTGCCACGATCGTAATCGTTC